GTTTTCAAAGTTGTGTTGAAAGATAATTTTGGAAGTTGAAATTGTGTTTGGACATGCATTTTATTTGAACAAAAAAATTGACGTTTTGTGAGTGGAAGAAAAAATTTCACCCAAAACTGCCCTAAATTAATTTTTGAGAACTTGAAAAAAAAATTATTTATTTTTCAAAAACGGATCATATTCCATGAACGAACAATATATTTTCAAAAAAAAAATTGAAAAAAATAACTAAAACTATAGTCAAACGGGAGCTAAAATTTTAGAATCTAAACGATAGAAATGAGGATATATGAGTATTTCATGACTCAAAGTATGTCCACAAAATATTATGACTTGTTTTATTTGTATTATTTCTTCTAGGATTTGGATTTCAATCATTTGATCTGTCATGCCAGGACAAAATTTATAGTAAATGATAGTATTTTAAGTACTAAATATGTGTTTCTCAAATAAAAAAGTAATCCACGTTTGAAGGTAGTTAACCAACTGTTTTTCTTGGATTCGCGACCAAACTCCAATTATTAGCTTAAAAAGAAAAGAAAATAAAAAGGAACATTAATTATTGGGATTCAATAATTTCTTTAAAGGGATTAGCAGATAGAACATTTTTGTTTTTTGTTTTTTTTTTTATTTTGGTATTAGCACTATTTTTTTTTCTCCTTCATTTATTGGTGTCTTTTCCAATCAATAAAAGACCTCAATTTAAGTAGAAAATAGCCCCTTTGGGATTTGAATTGCTAGTTTGACATGATTTCACATAATCTAAAGATGCGGCGTTTTAATTTCAAGAGGTTTTTGAGAAACAATTTTGAAGAGAAATTATGCATTTAGATTATTTGCCTAATTTTGCTTTTCGATTAAAAAAAAAATACTCCCCTTATGTTCTAGTTTATATGGCAATAATTTTTTAGCTCTTTTCAAAAAAAAAAGTTAGCTTTCGAAATTTGAAAACAGTAACACTTAGCTAGCGTTTGGACATAGATTTAGTTGAAACTTGAAAAAATAATTTTTGAAGTAGTTTTGAAAAATAATTTTTGGAAGTTGAAATTATGTTTGGACATGCATTTTATTTGAAAAAAATTGAAGTTTTGTGAGTGGGAGAACAAGTTTCACCCAAAATCTACCCTAAACTAGATTTTGGGAACTTGAAAAATAATTTCAGAAATTTTTCAAAAATAAATCATTAATCTATGAACAAACAACGTTTTCAAAAAAGATTTGAAAAAACGTTGCCAAAATGTATGGCCAAACGGGGCCTTAAAATCTTTGTTTTATCCTTAGTAATAAGCTCTTATTTCCATACAAATATTATAACATATTTAATATTACAATTTGAGAAGTCTTATAACCACATAAATGTTGTTGCATATTTATGACCATAAATTTAAAAATATATGTTTTTACTCCTAATAAAACTTATAGCCACACAAATATTGCTATACCTCAGCTAATGATGTTGAGTTCCTCCGGTGTTTGTCAATGAAGCACTCTAGACTGATATCCTAGGAATTACTTTTGTTAGAAAAACTCTGATTTGTAATATAATTAATACTATCTCAAACAATACTATCCAACTGGACAGCTCCAATGTGGCGCCACCCATGTAATTATTTTTGTTAATTAATTAAGTATTTGCTTAACCAAAAAAATGATGTCAAGTTCTTGTTTAGCCGATGTTGCTTGATACTTGATTTTGTTTTGTGGTTTATTATAGATATTACTTTAGTCATATGACTTTTTAATAAAAGTGATTTAAATAACCTAAGAAAATCATAAGAGAATATCAGAGATTTTTGCTGGTCATTTTTTTCTATTCAAGTTCTAAGTGATAGGAGATAAAACCTTATATGATACATTGACCATACAATTTCACACAATCCTTTTCAAAAGAAAATATTTCAATAGGTGTAAAATGAAATTCCATTATGATTATTCATGACTTTAATATATTTAATAAGAAGTCATAGTCTCAACTCAGCAGAGAGCAACTCTGAAAATGATNGGGGGGGCAAACTTATCCAGACTGAGACTTTATTGTTTCTTTCTTGAAATCAATTAATATCTTTTTGTTCATTTATTAACAGAATAATCAAACTACCAGATTCAACTAGATAATCCGACAATTTTGATACTTTAGTTCACCTATTGGTGGTCATTTGTTTTTTTCAAACAGAAACTCCATTGTTTTTTTCTCTTTTTGTTCGTATAGAAAGAAAAAAAATCTTAATTGGACCATTCACTAGTAGTTAGCTAAGGTAGATAGGTCCTTAGACGTTATATGACGTCTGAAATATTTCTAATTTATTAAAGTTGTTCTAAAGAAGAGGAGGTCACGGGAAGTCACGGGTTCGAGCCGTAAAAATAGTCTTTTGCAGAAATGTCGGGTAAAGCTAAGTATGATAGAGGATCCAGTCTTTCTCCGGACCCACAGATAGTGGGAGCTTAGTACACCGGGCTGCCCCTTTTTTTTTTAAAGCAAAGCATCAATCGTTCATAAAGCACAAAAGGTGAATTCTTTAATTTTAAGGCGAAGCATATATGTATAGTGAAAACTTGCTTAAAATTTCGGAAATATTAAATTTTGAATCTATAATTTCAAATTACAAAGAGTTGATTAATAAAACCTTAAAAGTTGAACTCATCTGAACTAATTTATCCAAAATTTATTTTCCGAATCTGATATTGCATAATTGCAGGAGAGTTAATATTATAATGGTAAACAATATTGAGGAAAACAATATTATAATGGTAAACAAATTATAATTGCGCTAACTACTGTTAGTTGTGTGTTTTCGCTTGATTTTTTGATTCGTTTCTTGTCATTGGCCCTTCCTTTTATCTTTCTTGAGCTGATGGTCTACCGGAAACAGTCTCCCAGCCTTTTTAAAGGTGGGAGTAAGATCTGCGTACACACTACCCTCCACATACCCCACTTATGAGAATATACTAGGTTTGTTGTTGTAATATCGAGGAAAACACTTCTTATCTCAACGGATCTTTCATATAGAAGAGTAATTTTAGCAATTTAATGACTTTGAAGTGAATCAATAAAGTATGTGACTTTTGCTAATAAAGTACAACGTTGATATGACCAGAGGCGGACCCAAGATTTAAAGGTTGCAGATGATATTTGCATTCAATCAAAATTTGTTTTGTATATAGGATGACACTATTTATATATATTACTATATTTTAAAGACATATATATGTAGAATTTTGCCAAACTTTATGGGTGCCCGTGATCCCTCCTTTTATAATGTAGGTCCAGCGCTACGATGAATGACGAGGTCCTCGTAACTCGACGTCTTGCGGAGGACGACCTTAAGGCAAACAAGAGTATACGACCCTTGTAATAATACAGGCCCATTAGGAGGTACTAGGAATATTCCTTCGAACTTGTTTTTTATAGCTTAGAAGGGTTTCACTCTTTATATATATAGCGAACAACAACCTTGTAAAGGGGCACTTCTTGGCTGATCCATAATACTTGTTGTAAATTTGCTTACATAAACGAGTGAGAAGATTTATGGTAAAAGATTGGTTAATCTGGATAGATAAAGAAGTCTTATTATCCGTATTCTCCTTATCCATCTTTCGTTCTAGAGATTATTATACTTAGCTATGATTTACCCCTTCATATTCTTTGATTATTGATTTATTCAAAAAGGTTTCGATATCTTTTGAGTCAAACAAGTATATAACTAGAGGGTTGCTTGCATTTTTTAATTTTCTCTGGGTTTATGGTTTTTATTTCCAGCCTTTTCTAAATGTAGCAACAAAACATTGTATAACCATAAACCATGGAAGAAGAAAAGGGAACGGAACAAAAAACAATAAAACGGAGAGTGTGTTTGGTCTGACGCATGTGATTTTCCATGAAAAATATTAGATTGGTTTGTGAAAATTTTTTGCTGGAAAAAGTATACTAAAAACTAAAAATATATTAGTAAATCAAGAATGTTTGGATGAAAATTTTGAATTAATTAATAATAATATCTAAGTGTTAACTGGAGCGAATAATATAAAATATAAAATTTAGATAGTTGAGGAAAATGACTTCCGTCATTAGTGCATTTTCCCCTTTTATAAAAATTGCTTTTCTTGAAAAATATATTATGGTAACCAATCACCAGAAATGACTTCCTATCAAACACACATGGAGGCCAGAGCATTTCCCTTTTTTATTTTATTTTTATTGCTTTCAATCTTTTAAATGCAAAATGATTATTGCTTTGATTCTAACTATCTAATAAATGCTTAACTAGTTTAGTTGTTGCTAGAACAATTGATTTCTTTTTACTGGTGTAAGATTGAGTCCTTCATCAACCAAACGCTACAACACAAAGTGACATCAAACTTCAATATTTTCTTGATTTTGCCATGTCCGACATTTGTCTTTTATGACAATCTTACTTAAAGTTACGAATCTATAGATATTAAATTAGCAAATTATCTTAGATTTTAAATGAACATTTCTTTTTGTCTTATATCATCTAATGATGGATTAAATAATGTTATGCTCTACAATTGGAAACAAGAAAAAGACCCTTATTAGCCCGACATTTGGCTTCTCTTTGTTATTACTTCAATCTACTTGAATTTATTTTCTATATGAAGAGAAGTTATATAGCCTACATTGATTGTGTCAATATATGAGCAAAGATTTTATGGTGCCACCCTTAATTTAGAGTAACCTTTAGCATTTCAAAGAAATGAATTGCTTCAAAATACCAGTGTTAATCAAGTTTATCATGGGTTTTTCCATATCTTTGGACTTAGTTTTTTCTCAGACTAATATCTCCCATAACTGTATCCTGAATATTAACATTTCTTCATCTGGGGAGGATTGTACTACTTTAGACAGAAATTGGGATGGTTTTTTAACCCAACCTTGCTGTGGATTACCTTTCAATAGATATTTACAAGCATTGGCACGTTGGACAAACCAAACAGGACATATCTTTCTTAATTCCACACAACAGATTCACTGTTTAACTTCGATGAAGAACACTAGTTCTGATACTTTTAGCTGTGGCATTGAAAAGTTGACTAGTGGTGTAGGAGGCTACTCTAATTATTCAAATATAGTCGTTGTGAACGAGTTAGGAAACAGATTGAAAAATCTAAGAGATGATTGCAGCCTAATGGATTCAGATGGAGGACTCACTAAAGGCAGCAATCAGTGTTTGAGGACATGGGGATCATTAGCTTCACAATCGAAAAATAATTTGATGAAAGTTGAGGCTGACATTTGTAGATTTAGTATGTTGATTTTGTTAACAAGCCAAAGAATTTCTGATGAGAGTTGGATTAATGAAATCTTTCATTGCCTAGGAGACAACTCTCTCCCTTTAGGTAATACTTGTCTACTTTCTGTTACAGATTTATGTTTTTCTCTTCCAACTTTTTGGATATTAAATTTTGATATTGACTTATCATTGTAATGTGCAGTATCTTCTAGAGATGAGACTGGAAGTGAAACTAGACATAGAACAAAGTTTAAAAGAGGTAATATCTTGAAATTTTTATTCACAACTATTATTGCTATTGCTGAGTTTCAGGACAAAAAAATGTTCATAAGGTTAAGCATTGGTTAAATATGCAGATCTTGGGATTCTAATTGGTGGTATAGTGGGGCTTGTAGTAATAATAATCATTGGCGTCTGGATCTTATTGAAAAGGAAGAATGAAGTTAAACCGTCAAGTGGAAGATATAGTAAGTCCTCTACACCAATAATCATAGAAAAGATCATTGTTCTGAATGTTTTAGCTTATACTAATTCTGTTTCGTGTTAGCAGTATCAGATGGATCTTACTCTGAAGAATCAAGCTATCGTAAATTATCACTTAAAGAAATTTACTTCGCGACTGACAATCTCAGCATGTCTAACTTCATAGGTCAAGGCATAGCTGGTAAGAACAAAATCGAATTATGTACAAGTTGGCCTAGTCTCCTATGATGCGCCTATTTATAGATCAATTCCTTTTGAAAGTTGGATTTTGAAATGATCATGTTCTACAGGAAAAGTATACAAAGGAATTCGGGCAGATGGACAATATGTGGCAATTAAGCATATAATTAAGGATGAACAGATGGAAACACTGGTTAGAGAAGTTACAAGCCTCTCGCATATCTGCCAGCTTTGAAGCCAAACTCTCAAACTTTGGTTTATCCAAAATTATTAGCATTGTTCACTCTTATGCTAGCTCAGAAGTGAGAGGAACTTTTGGTTATGTTGATCCTGAGTACCAAAAGAATCGACACGTTAATTCTTATGGTGATGTCTATAGGTTTGGGATAGTGCTGCTACAACTATTATCTGGACAAAGGGTTATCAACTTGGATTTGCAGAATCCAATGCCTCTAAGTAAAATGGTAAAAATAAATACTCACTCTTCTCTTGTGGTTTTTTTCAAACTTTCTTAATTTAACATGTCGTTTTGAATCTTAGGCGAAAAACTTGACGAAAGGTGGGAACATCAAAGAATTTGTTGATCCCAAAATGGAGGGGAAATTCTCAATGGAGGCTTTTGAACTTATACTTAAGTTAGCTTTGGTTAGCATAGGGCTGAAGCAGCAACGGCCATCCATGGAACAAGTGGTTGTTAAACTCGAAGAGGCTCTTGATTTATCGACAAGAGTTGATTCAGTCCATTTTTAGTGCACATACACTTTATCTGGTTAAGTCCAGATTGAATCTGATGAATATAATAGCTTAAGTACAATTTATTTTTTTAAAAGCTTACCCAAGATCAAAGGCGAATCAAGATTTTATAGTAAGTGGATTCAAAATGAGTTTAATACACAAGTATACATCTTTTCTGCATATATATGTACTTATGGATCAAGCGGAAAGTTATGGTTTCCATTGAACTCACTGAAGATCTGTCTCTGCCAAAGAATGTATAATGATATAACTTTCCTCTAATACACAGTTTGATCTTAAGTAAGTACCTACATGGAGAGTGTAACAGAACAATCAAGTTAAAACAAGTTTACTGATTGTACCAACTGAATCAGATAAAATAAGGCTCATTATTTAGTCCAAGATATCACGAATTCCCGGAGTAATTCTGAATCTCCTTGAGCGATTATGAAGATATCTGCTTTCCGTGCTTGAAGTTTCTTTGCTCCGGCATGAGCTTTAATAAAGGAATCTGCAAGCATTTTTAAAAGAATTAATTGAGTGTTCGGGTAAAAGTGAATACCATGGTAAAGCCCTTTTTGTTAAGGTTTCTCCGAATTTCTTTAGTAAAATCGATTCGATCTCGTTTGGAGCCAAATCGCTTCCCTTTATAGAAGTGATGCACATTGTAATGTGCTCTTGCGGATCCGATGATCCATCATATGTGGGAATATCCGGCATCTTAAATCTCTTTGGGATCAATTCCGGAGCTGCACTAGGTTTAAATGGCAATTGTATATATTTCTTTGAGTCCGGACCCTTAAGGACTGGTGGTGCTCTCGGAATTTGATCCTTCCAAGCGTGAAATTCTTTAGCATTTTGATCCATACGTGTATTTATCTTTCTTCATACACTTTCCGAGTTCAGCCATGAAAGGATCATATATGATGTTTTCATTTTCGGATCCATTACCTGTACCGCCTGCCCGGTCATTATCCGATCTAAATCCCTCATTTGAAGCTAACTTACTCGTTCCCGGAATCATTTGCATCGTTGGAACACTAAGAGAGGCTCGAACTCCACTATTTGAATTATTTGAGGCCGCCGATATTGCTTGTTGAAGTTCGGTCATTATCCGGTTTTGTCTTGAGAGATGATTCATAGTTTTCATTTGTTGTGCTCTCAAAACGTTCACGATATCGGCTACGGGCTTATCATCCAAATCATCAGGAGTAGGACTCCTCGCACGTTGAGAATTTCTTTCCACCTGACTTGGAGTTGATTTGTTCCCATCATGGTGAGTTACACCAGTCGAATCGTCTTGTTGATATCCACTGCGTACACGATGCAAATTGCCCATAGACTCGTTGTTGTTGTTTAGACCAGCGTTGAGAGGCTTGTTGTCATCATTGTGTTCCATAACTATAATACGCTTACTAAAACGATAAAACTTTCAAGATTAACACATTAAAATAATACCACAATTGTCTATGCCCCATGACAGGCGTCAAACCATTTAACTGTAAAAAGGTACAATTGAATTTGTATATGTGATTAATAGGTACGTGGATTAAGATGATCTAATTAGCAAAACTATAAATGAAAAGTAGCAAAATACAAGATACTTAAAGAATGAACAAGCCTGAATTTCAGATGAAGTTCACCGAAGTGAAGTTAATAACGAAGCTCGGACAAATATTTTTGTATAGAACTATGAAAATGCAAAAAAAGAAAGGTTATTCTTGATGATTCTTCTGGATCGTGTCCTTACAATGAGTACAAATGCCTCTATTTACAGCTATATTTAGATAGACAAGATCGTTAAATTTCACCCTCTTAAAGATGAATAAAATTTCCTCTTAATGGTTGCATAACCTTGGGAATAAATGTCGAGATCTTCTGTAATGGTAATTTCCTTCAACTGGTGTCTTGTTTTTAAATTAATTTTTCTCACTACTAGAAATCCGGAAAAAAGCGACCAAAATTTAGCGACCAAAACTGGTCTGTGGGAAAAAGCGACCAAAGTTGGTCGCTAAACTAGCGAAAATAATAAAATAAATAAAAGAAATAAAATAGCGACCAAGGTTGGTCGCTACTTGGTTGCTATATTAGTCAAAATGTTGACTGGACTGGTCAGACTTTCTTGGTCAAACATTTACTAAGATTAGTGATCAATGTTGGTCGCTAAAGTGGGACCCACTTACAAAATTTTAAGAATTATATTATTATTTTAAAAATATTATAAAATATAAATATATATAATATAAAAATGGCGNGTCAAACATTTACTGAGATTAGTGACCAATGTTGGTCGCTAAAGTGGGACCCACCTACAAAATTTTAATAATTATATTATTATTTTAAAAAAATTATAAAATATAAATATATATAATATAAAAATGGCGACCAACGTTGGTCGCTACTTAAAGGGTAGGCAGATACCGACCAACTTTGGTCGCTTAAATGGGGCTCAGTTATACAATTTTAATAATTATATTATTAATTTAAATATTATATAATTAAATCTGATTTAAATATAGCGACCAACTTTGGTCGCTAAACTAAATTCTTGAATAAATAGCGACCAAAGTTGGTCTCTATTCAGGTCAACAAGGGTCAAAATTAAAAATCACTTTTGTATTTACTATCTAAATAATATAAATATAAGTCGTTAATACTTTTGTAATACAAGGGATGAATAGTACTACGAATCGTGCGTGTCTCTCTCTCTCTCTCTCTCTCTATATATATATATATATAAAATATATACTTACGCTATATTATGCACCNGTAGTCCGCACGGCCATCCAGATCTAGCTGCTTAAGTACCCGTTAAAGGTTGGCGGTAGTCCGCGCGACCATTAATGATTCGAAATATACGGGAATTCTATTATAGTTTTAATGATTGTATGGAAGGATCTATATCTTTTTACCCAAGCAAGAGGCCTGTCTAGGTCCGATACATACTCTTATTGAGCCCTTGCGTCTAGCAGTTCTAACTGTGAAAAGGATATCCCTTTTGACAACTCGGCGGGCTTTAATGTCACAGCTGGCTAGACGTAGCCACTAAGGAAAAGCCAATAAGAGTAGTACCAGAACTGACTGTACCACCATCTTGGAACCAAGCCAAGAAACTATATTAAAATTTCTTTATATTTAGAAAGAGTCTGGATTCTTCATGGTTAATGTGCAAGAGAAATTAGTTCTTCAACATAGATATGAATCCGTTTAGCCGGACATAATCACGGCTGGGGAGAGAAACTAAGTATTTAAAATAGTAAAAGAAAATAGAATATGTACCTTGAAGGTCGAGAAGCAAGGCCCTTGAGATGAACTGAACTTCAAAACTTTTATTAATTTTCAATTGATTTACAAACTAATAAACTAAAGCTTTACAAATGGAGTTGAGAGAGAGAGTTGTAGAGAGAGAGAGTGTAGAGAGAGGGGGGTTCCGGCTCTCCTTTCTAAAATAGTAAATTGGGTCCCACATCTGGGTCCCTACACAGTGTTTCTACTGTAGTTGAACAGTGTTTCTACTGTGGATGAACAGTGTATCTACTGTTGAGTGGGTCCTGGAGGCTGGTAAGCTGTCAAGTCTTTTTCTTGTCCAAATTGTGCATTTGTTGGAGGAAATCTTCCACGTTTTCTATATCTCTGTCAGATAATATTACCTCTGGCTGTATTGGTTGTGTATCTTCCACGAGGTCATCACCACTTGTTTCACTTCGCATTGAAGTTTCTGATTTGTCGCATTGATCCAGTGACTGAAGCAAGTTTCTTTTCACTTCTTCTAAGTATTGATTTATCAAATCAATTTTATCTCCTTCTTGAACTGAGATTCTTCGAGCAATATGTTTAACTATGCTTTCTTCTATCATCTTCTTTTGAGGGGTCGTTATATATAATTGGATTTGTGTTTTAATAGAATCCAATAATTCTTGACCTTATAGTGTTTTTGTTTTGGGATCAGTCTTCATCAATTTGTCCCAAAAATTATTATAGAATATCCTATATAAACAAGGGATTTGTTCTTCCGTATAACCTAGTTCAGGAGTCCATTTATGAATCCAGGGGATAGAGAATTCAATAAAGAAGTAGATTTGATCAATTTTTTCTAGATAACAGATATAATCTGCGTGATATAACTCAGTTAGGAACGGCGAAACTTTTGCCCATTCTTTGTATAACTTAAGGAATGGTCCAGGCAGAATCTTTGTAGTAGGACCGTGGTATGACCACCAGTTTAAAAACCAGTTAGGGATAGGTCCTGTAAATACCTTTGCACATACTTTGATAAACCAAGTATGTTTATGTCTCTCATTATTATAATAAAGCACCCTATCAAATGCTTGGATATAATCCCAATAAGTAAAATTCATAGGTGATTTATTAAGGCTTATCTGCCTTTCTTTCATTGTTGAAATCCCTCATTCTTCAACAGATATAATCTGTTTGATAATGACTTTTGAAAAGTTATAAACGTTTTCATTTGTGTTATAACCCGAAAAGTGCTGGAATTCTGCACTTCCTGTACTGATTAGGATAGTCTCATAATAAGTGCGGGTTTTATATGATTCACCCGGGTAGTATAATCCATTAATCAAATATCTCTGGAATATTTTCCATGGTTCTTCTTTTCTCTGAATCTCAGAGTTTCCAAGGAGAAATATCATTTCTCTCTTTGGTAATTTTTCGTATGATTTGATATCATCATTGTCTTCTTCTTTAGCAATTGAAGCAAAAGTATCACTTTACTTTTTGGATGCCAAATAAGCCTGCAGATGTCCATATAGAGGACTATCTTCTGGAATATCTTCCATATGTATAGAATGTCCTGATGATTCGCCTGTAAGAGGTACCTTTGAGTTTATCAAACTCTTTTTTCCTCTTTGTATTACTGGAGAATTTGATGAGGATCCGTATGACGATCCTTGAGAGTAAGTCCTATTAGGGGAAGATCTTCCCCTACCTCTGCCCCTGGTGGCCCATGAAGGGTCCATTCTGCATAAATAGCAAGTCATTAGTAATTAAAAAAGATATCATAATTCTATCGCCGATATAATCTTGGCTGGGAATTCATTTTCAATTAACTGAAGA